CAAACTAGGTTTACTGTGCGAAGTATACCATCTGGCATCCAGGAAGCACTCGACAAATTATACCTCTTATTTTTACAGATGTTTTATAAGATTGTATTCAGATGGTGCTCATGTGCTATAACTTCACAGTGCATTGTTATCTATAAACTTGAACAGTTAGTGCTTTAGAGATAAATAAAGGTAAGTATATTAGTGTATATTAAAACCAAAAGCAGTGCTTTCTTTTTACCCATAGGCTTACCCCTTGTGTGCCCTTCATTCTTTCCTATAAACCAGAGCTTTCCTCTGGTGCCATCATCCATCGGGGAGCAGGCTGCCAACAAATTATCAAAGCCTCTCTCTGCTTGAAATGTTTTCTTTGTCCTCACGTTTGAAGGGCATTTTTCTGCACGTAGAATTCCAGGTTGACAGATGTTTCTTCAGCTCTTTGAAAATGTCCCATGTGTTTCTGGCCTCCACTGTATCTGATGAGCTGTTCACGGTTCTCCTAGTGCTTGGTGTCCTGCAGGTCCTGCATCTTCTGACCCAGCTGGCACCAAAGCCATGAGGGGATCCTCACACTGCACCCGTTCTGCTGCGGAGTCCACGGGATGGAGTCTCCATATCTTACTGTTTTCAAGTTCAGCATTTCCACTGTTTGTTTGTTCGTTTGATTTTTATAATCTCTTTTGCTCTTCTGAAACTCCCAGTGTTGATTTACATTACTTTTCTAATAGCTCTTTTGGTATATTTGTTATGCATAATTTTAATTCTTTCTCTAACAATATGCATCTGCACCACTTCCAGGTCTGTGTCTATTGAGTTTTCTTTTTACCGTCAGTTATCTTTCCTTGGTTCTTTAACATTTGTTATTATTTACTTTACGCTGAATATTATATGCAAAGAATAATTAGGACTGAAACAACTGACATACTCTTCTAGAAAGGGTACTCCCTTCATATGCTGGGCTGCTGGTGTGGGGACGAGTGTTTTTGTGAATCTGAGCCTCATTCAGCCGCTCACGTCCCTGATTCAGTTCTCCAGTGAGGGAAACACAAGGCTTCCTTTCCAGCAGGACTTGAGAACTGTCCCCAGCAACACTCGAGGCTTCAGCTTGCTTACTGGCCAGCCAGCTGGGTTCATGCCGTGGAAGGCCTCCCTCGGCCTCCCTAACCAGCCCGCCCGCACTGTTTCACCGCGCCTTCGCTTTCCCTGCTGCTCTTGGTGCACTGCACACAGGGCCTCCCTCTGTCCTGCGTTGCTTCACAGCCTCTGCAGCACATGTAGCAAAGGCCTGCGGGCCTCACCAGACGCCTCTTGGTGATCCTGCTTCCTCCAAGCCTCTGCAGCCACCACTGACACTTAGTAAAGGCTGGCATGCTCCCCAGAGGGCGCTCTCAGCTCCCTGCCCCTCCACTGCAGGCACTCAGTGAAGGCCCACAGCTCTAGACGGGGTTTCCTTGGCTTTCTCAGCCTTCCCTGAGCTTCCCAGACACTGCGCTTCAGACCTGCCATGGCCCCTGTAACCAGGGGCCCTGGGTGGCGTGCAGGGCAGAGTGGAGGGTGGGCGCACTCCTGCTGTGGCTGGAGATCCCGGGGAGCCTAAACCCCCACAGGAGCGCTCACGCAGGTGTTCAGAATTCAGCAGAATATACCCGCATTCTTTGTTTGTATCCCTCATTGACAGCTGGAAGTCTTCCTTTATCTCTTGGATTTTCAGTTCATTTAAGTCTCTTTGCTTCCTTGGGTTTGGGTGGGTTTAAAAACTAGGATTTTGTAGCATATCTGATTCTTCTCATTATTAGGGTGATGACCAGAGTATCTACTGATTATCTAAATCTTAACTGCAGAAGGGGAACCACCCTCAAAAAACAGAACTTATTTATAAAAAATTGTGTATTCATTCTTACATGTTCCGACTGCAGTCACCTTCAAGAAGCTTCTTCCACTGCTCAAAGCAGTTTGTGACCTCATTTAGTGTTGATGCCTTCCTGCTCTTCTGCAGATTTTTGCTTCGCCTCTTCCACATCAACAAAACACTTCCCTTTGAGAACTTTTTTCATCCAGGAAAACAAAACAAAGTTACTCCGGGCAAGACCAGGCAAATAGGGAGGGTGAGACATGAGGCTCATGCTGTTTTTGATCAAAAACTGCTGAACACTGAGAACAGTGTGGGCAGGTGTGCTCATAAATCACCCATCATGAAACGGACAAATGTGTTGAAAGAGTCTTCAAGAAAAATTCACTTAGGCCAAACGAAGCCTCTCACAACAATGCCAGCTAGTCCACTGATATAGATGGGTTCCTAGAACACTCACCTAACAGGGAAGCTGGTACTATAGGGCCTGCCCTCCAGAAGATAATTCAGTTTTTTGGGTCCCCTCTTGTATGTGGAAATCCCCAGGCCTGTATGTTAGTTCTCTCCATGTATCAGTTTGTATAGGTAGTAAGTGGTTTAGTCAGGGTTTTACCAAGGGAGCACTAACCTAATTTATGATTTTTCTCGTTTCAACTAGAACTTAAGTCAACCAGAATCATATGGGTTCCCATGAGTTTGAATCCTACTGTACCCTTAACCCCTACTCACTTCCTGTTTCCAAAGCCCAGACTGCCCTCCCTGGACAGTCTGCCCACCCAACTTCCATCTTCCATTCTCTTCCCAAAACCAGATCACTCAGCCTGTCCTCTGAGTAGGCTTTTATAGCTTCTACTCTCTTAGGAATTGTCCTATGTTCCATGTTTCCAGACTATTTATTGCTTGGAATGTATTTATTGTATTTTTTCAGCTTAACAATGGGACTTACTAACTTAAATTTAGAGGTACTTTTCCTGAAACAGTATCTGGAATTTGAAGAAAAATATGTTTACCATATTATTTGAAAATGTAATCAACATTTTTAAAGAAAAGCAAAATGAGATACCACCTCACACCAGTTAGAATGACTATGGTTGAGAAGACAGGTGACAACAAGCATTGGAGAGGTTGTGGAGAGAGGACCCCTCACGCACTGCTGGTGGGAATGGACACTTGGGCCGCCACTGTGGAAAACGGTGTGGCGGTCGCTCAAGAATTAGTAAGAGTTACCGTATGACCCAGCAACCCCTTTACCTAAAAAATTCTGAAAACATTTATTTGTAAAGACGTATGTACCCTTGCCCTGAAGGGGTGGCTCAGTTGGTTGGAACATTATTCCCTACACCAAAAGGTTGTAAGTTTGATTCCTGGTCAGGGTATGTACCTTGGTTGCAGATTTGGTCCCCTGTCAGACACTGATATCTGTCTGCCTGCCTCTCGTTTTTTCTCTCTCTCCACCCTTCCTCTTTCTCTCAAATCAACAAACACATCTTTGGGTGAGGATTAAAAAAAAAGATATACCTGTATGTACCCCTATGTTCATGGAGGCCAACACATGGGGACAACTGAAGTGTCCTTAGATAGGTGATTGGTACATATATACACAATGGAATATTGCTCATCCATAGAAATAGATAAAATACTGTTATTTGTGACAATATGGGTGGATATTGAAAATATCATGCTAAATAAAATAAGTCAGAGAAAATTTAAAAAAATAAAACATTATTTCACTCATATAGGATATAAAACTGAAAGCAACAAACAAAAGTCCATAGACACAGACTATGAGTATGGTGGTTACCAGAGAGAAAGAAGGGGGGAGGGGCCAAAGGGTAAATGGGGACAAATATATGGTGACATTAGGAGACCTGACTGTGGGTGGTGAACACATGATGCACCATACAGATGATATGGCAAGTGAATTGAACACTTGAAAACTTATTAACCAATTTCACCTTATAAATTTAATAAAATTAAAAATAAGTTTATTCTGCATAACTAAAACTTTGTATCCTTGGCTAACATCTCCATTTCTCCCTCTCCCAGCCCCTCATAACCACTACTCTCTACTTCTACGAGTTTGACTATTTTAGATTCCAGATATAATCCTGTGATGGGCCGTTAAATGCTCTCACCACAAAAAAGCGGGGGTATTAACATGTTAGGTGAGGGATGTGTTGCGGTCATCGCATCTCAATATATACATTCTTTATGACTGTTGACACTGATATAACTGTCAATATTTAATTTTTTTTTACTAATATAGCTATTTTCTTCAGGTCACATTCTTCCTTGTACATATCTTTCACAGATACAACATGGATGGTGTGTTCTACCCTAATTACTTCTTAACCAGTTTACACACAATTTTGTCAACTTAATTTTACTTAGCAATTAAGTCACTCCATTTTCCTAATTCTTTCACTGTTCTTTGGAGAACATGCCCCCTCTCCATGCGCCAACCCCAAGGTCCATAAACAGCCAGAGCCTTTGTTCAGGCTCCTCCACAGGCAAACCCGGGGCTGACCTCTGACCCTGCAGGGGGCACCGTCTGTGGGGAAGCAGACCCGGCACATGTCAGGCCATTTGTTGCACCACCTCAGTAGGAGGTTAAAGGTTTAACTCTCACCTTTGGCTTTTTGCTTTGACTACCCCAGCCACTCAGACACTTCCTTCTCTTCTAGCCCCTAATAACGCTCTTTGGTAGGAGAAAAAAAAAGAAAGACTCCAGTGACAATAACATATTTAACTAAAATGTAGTGTCATAAATGCATGGTTACTTTGAAATTTCAAAATTCTTCAAAGTACAATTAATGAGTCATTGTGTTGTCTCATATAACCAGTATGGTAAATCTATACCCATTTCTTAGAACTGTTTTTTTTTCTTTCTTTCTTTCTTTATTTTTAAATACATTTATCTCTGCCTCCCCCCCCCATATTAGAACTATTTAACATCATAAAATGTATAGTCTTCACATCTAATTATAGAAAAATCTTATTATTTATATAACTGATATGTTTAATTCTACCCTGGTATTTCAGCCTCTTATGATTGCTCCTGCTAAAAACTATTTTATTTCACTTGGGGTTTTTCAGGAAGTGGAAGTGATTTCAGTGAAAACCGAAGCCCCCTCCTAGTACTTCAGCCTAACTCATGTCCCCCTTAGCTCAGCCTCTGACAAAGCAGATGCGCGTCCCGTGTGACCACGTGCGAGGTGCAGGCCCGCGGCGGAAGCGAGGACACCGGAAGTGAGGCAGAGCGACAGCACAGACCGACACTGCGTGCTGCCTCCTCAGGGGACCGGGAAGAAACAGGGTCGGCGCCACTCGGCAAGCGCGACGGGCAAGCACCGAGGCGCGGCGACAGCGGAGCCAGGACCGCCGCCGGAGCGCAGGCCCCGCAGGCCCCGCAGGCCCCGCAGGCGGAGGGGCACCCGCGCTCCGCGATGCCTGCCGCCCGGGACGGGCCAGCCCGTCCGAGCGCACGCCCAGCCGCAGAGGGGCACTTCCCCCAGCAGAGCGGCCCGGTGTTCACCCCCCGGAGTTTGCCAGGGCTTCCACAACACACTGCCGCAGGCGGCGAGGCGTCAAGCACTGGACAGGTGTCGCCACAGCTCTGAGGGGCACACGTCGGGAACCCAGGGGCCGAGCGAGGGTTCCTCCCGGAGGCCCCGAAGGGGGCGCTGCCCGCGTGGGCAGCCAACGCTCTTCCGGCACCTTCTCCCCGGTGTCCGCGGGTCGCAATTCTCCCTGTTCTTCCCTTTCTGAGGACACCGGTCATTGAATTTAGGGACACGATCGCATCTCAGTATCCTTAACTACATCTGTCAAGTCCCTATTTCCAAATAAGGCCAGCAGCACGTGTACCAGGGATTGGGACCTGGACCTTTTTGGGGGACCCCTATTTCGCACACTCCAGGGTGAGTGGCACGGATAGGGCTCCATGGGTGGCACAGATAGAGCCACACGGCTCTAGGGTGGCTCCTCAGACCCCAGCCTGTGCAGGGAACTTGACGACGGCGGGGGTGGGCACAGTCCCAGAAACGGTGCGTGCGAAGAGAAGGCAGCCAGCAAAGGAACCCGAGCGGGCGCTCAAGGCCCGTACGCAGAGCTCACAGCGAGTTCACTGAGGGCGCAGGCTGAAGATTGTCCCGCGGTAGCCGCGACCGCGCAAGGATGCTTAGTCCTTCAATCATACGCTTACTAACAACTGTCTGCGTCCGTGGGGCTGTGGACGAAAAGACGATCCAGACAGAGGCGGGGGTGGTAAAGAGTTCCCGGTGTAGCAGGCAGCGAGAACCGGGCAAGGGAAATGGGTCCAGTCCGCCGCCCGCACGAGGAACGCAAGGAGCGGGCAGAGGCGCCGGCGGAGGCAGGGAAGCGCGCAGCACCTCAGCACCCGTCGCGTTGCCGCCCCGCCCCCGGCCCACCATCCTGTAAAACAGTCTCCTCTGAGGGGAGCAGACGCTGAGACCCAGGTGAATAAATTACTCAGACTTCCCTGTTAGATGATGTGACTTATTGGCTAGAATATAGACTAGACTTCTGACTCCTCATTCATGTTTCTCTTTACACTTGCCTTTCATATAAATTAACAACCTCTGGTCTTTCCACGTTAATTCTGGTGTTATAACCCCAATATGATTTTTCCTTACGTTGGAACATATTAGTAAGTTGGTATTATTTACTAAGAATGTCATGTTAATGAATTTATGGAAACTGTGCATAGTTGTCTCCTGCTTTATTTGGCCTTCTGGTCTTATCTTACATAATCAGGCTAAGAGAGTGGGTTTAAGGAGTCACACAGTAGACATGCGAGTTTCACAGTTTGCAATCTGTGTTTGAAGACCCCACGAATAGTGTTCTCAAAGTAGCAGGGCAATGCTGAATCTTTTCAATGGTTTTTGTACATGAAAATATATAGTAATTGTAAAGTAATTACTTAAAGAATATTCTGACACTAAATTTGAAGGTAAAGTCAAAGTAATAATGCCTGATTTCCACTATTTTTAATTTCAATATGTCAAATGCTAAACAGTAAAAAGGTATTGTTCCAAATACCTGAGTGTACCATCTAAAGCAAAGATTTAAAGATCTTACTGCTATTTCTAGGAGCTAACAAAAAGTCCACGTAAAACAGCAAATTTCATTCACAAAAGATTGGCAACCCTCACTTTTGGTCAAAACTTCATGCCAGATATTATCATGGATAAATTTAATTTTCCAAAAATAAAAAAAAACAATATACTAAAATTACTACATGGACACGTATAGAAAATATATAGTTGCTATTTATGTAGTAATAGAAATATACCCTATTTATGAAGGTCAGAAGCTTCAAAGATAACCTAGCAATAATTTTATAACTTAATGCACTTTCTTTTCCTTATCAATAAAACTAGGAGCCACGGCCACTTTTCTAAGCAATGGCGAGAGCGCTGAAGTCGGCATTTCTTAATGACTGACCCACATGAGCACTTCGCTCCCCGAGGAGGCATGGGTGAGAACTGGGAAAGCGACTCCCTCTGCTTTGCCACTCAGATCTGCGGCACCCTCAGACTCTGAGGGGACAAATGATCACATTCTGTCATCTTTTCTTCTTGGAATATAGTTGGGAGGGGTAGGGAAAATTGATGGAGAAAATGACAAGTTCTATTTTAAGGATGACATTCTGGGAGATACAGAAAACTAAAGGGATTCAACCCCCTAAGCAGGCAAAGAGCATGACATTAATTATAACTAGCTCTAACCCAAGACACAAGTTCTCTCACCAGAAGTGCTATGTGCTATTTGTTCAGAGTTAGTTAGAGCTGTATAGTTTAAAATAAAGCCAGTAAGCAAGTCATACAGAACATATTCAGTGCCACAGCAATAATCTACCCCAAACATTGGTTTTCTTAATGTTTGTGGTCTCTTACCATCTAACATTTAAACTCAACAACCTTTCATCCATCACCAGAACCAGTTCATCACACAGAATTCTTTTTTTTTTTTTTTTAAGCAGAAGAAAAAAAAAAGCACTTATTTTCAAGGTATGTGACCTGTTTTTGAAATCCCTAGGGAAGGAGTTCTGAAAGTGATTTTCTTGGTTCCAAGCGTAAGACATTGAAGAGATAATACAAATAACCAGATCTAAAAGTCTCTGTACTTTATTCCCAGCCCTGCACCTACTCAGATGAGTGACAGAAGACTCCTGGGCCCCCTTCCTCATTTGTTTAGTACAAATAATATCATCCTCTTGTCTATATTATAGGATTTTTATTAATCCAAATAATTTGAATAGAAGTATAATTTATAATTTAACAAATGCAAGATGATAATGAATTAAAAGTTAAGAATCTTCTCAGAAATAGATTTCAGCCCTCAGATGTGAAGGTTAGGAATTCCAGAGTACAACTGAGCATTATGTGGACTTAAGTTACCTGCTCATCAATGTGGCCCTGGAGACACAAAAACACAAAAAGTGCCCCCTCAACGTGCACACCCCCTAATCTCCTGCGGAGGAGCAGAGAAGCACAACGCCACGGCGCCGAAAGGAAGCACCCCTGCTGGCATGGGGAGCTGCTCCACATCTGCTCCGGCGCCCACTTCACTGGGTCACTTTCCGGGGAGGGACACGCTCCTCGCCCCATCAGTGCGCAGATCCTCTGCTAGAGCCAAAATGAACAGACCATCCATTCCCCAAATGCCTTAGGTCATGTCTAGATTTTCGGTTTTCCTTACACCCATCATCTAAGCACCGAAAGTTCTTTGTGAGCTCGCTTACCTCCAGAGAGCCCAGAGCAGAGCTTTCCTGACATGCTGTGAACGAGAGGCGACCACTCTTGCACCTCTCTGTGACACTGGCACTGAGCACAGTGCCTCTCTGACCTGTCACGGTGTCCAATATTCATTTGCTTACTGTATAAAGAAAATTTAGAAAATATCATATTTCCACTTTACATTTTGACTTTATAAAACATCTGTACAGAAAACTTTGTTGCACCTAAAGAAGCTGACTGAATTAGATTTTGTGGGAATAAACTGAACAAGAGGCCTAGACGTGGAATTCTTCAAGACGGGCTTTGGCTCCCCTCTCTTTCTGCATTCTCCACATTTCCAGGCCTGGCAACACTGCACTGGAAGTGAATGATTACTCTTATTTTAGGAAACACAAGTATGCCTGTGCACAACATAGGTCCAAGACTTATTTTATTTACTTATTAATCCTCACCTGAGGGTATGTTTATTAATTTGAGAGAGAGAGAGAGAGAGAAACATCGATATTAGACAGAAACACCCATCAGTTGCCTCCCACACATGACTTGAAGGGAAAATAAACTCACAACCTACGTGTGTGCCCTGACCAGAAACTGAACCCACAACCCTTTGGTGCATAGGACAATGCTTCAACCAACTGAGCCACCCAACCAGGGCTAGTTTTATTTTCATAGACTCCTGGACATTGAATGTGGTGACAATGCATTATTTCATTAAAATATTTAAGCATATAACTTAAATAGATGCACTTTTTATACATAAATTACAACTATGTATTACATATACTAAAATATAAATGATAAACCAAATTAAAATTTATAATTGTGCAACATTCAGGAGAATATATTAACTCAATGAGAACTTCAACAAAGAGGCAGAAAACAGCTCTTTCGGTCTCCGACTGCCGCTGTGAGAGAAGCTCCCGCCATGTCTGCCCACCTGCAATGGATGGTCATCCGGAACTGCTCCAGTTTCCTGATCAAAAGGAACAAGCAGACGTACAGCACCGAACCTAATAATCTGAAGGCCCGCAACTCCTTTCGCTACAACGGGCTGATTCACCGCAAGACGGTGGGCGTGGAGCCAGCGGCCGATGGCAAAGGCGTGGTGGTCATCATGAAACGGAGATCGGGCCAACGAAAGCCAGCCACCTCCTACGTGCGGACCACCATCAACAAGAATGCCCGGGCCACGCTGAGCAGCATCCGGCACATGATCCGCAAGAACAAGTACCGCCCAGACCTGCGCATGGCCGCCATCCGCAGGGCCAGCGCCATCCTGCGCAGCCAGAAGCCCGTGATGGTGAAGAGGAAGCGGGCCCGCCCCACCAAGAGCTCCTGAGCACCCCCCACCCCCACCCCAAACAATAAAGGTATCAGCCAACTTCCTTCAGAAAAAAAAAAAAAAAGAGGCAGAAAACATAAAAAGAGAACCAACCAATCAGGACTGAAGAATACAATAACTAAGATGAAAAAATATGCACTAGAGGGGATCAACAGCAGAAGAGAAGATGCAGAATACTGAGTCAGTGACCTTGAAAACAAGGTAATGGAAATCATCCAATCAGAAGAGCAAAAAGAAGAAATATATTTAATTAAGGCTAGTTAAAGGGACCTCAGGGACAACATCAAGCATACCAAAATTGCATCATAGAGTCCCAGGAGGAGTAGAGAGAAAGGTACAGAACACCTACTTGAAGGAACAATGGCTGAAAACTTCCTTAACATGATGAATAAACATCCAGGTTCAGAAATCATGGAGTCCCAAACAAGATGAACCCAAAGAGACCAACACCAAGATATATAATTAAAATGCCAAAAAGTTAAACAGAGAATCTTAACAGCAACAAGAAAACAAAGCTTCTAGTTACATGCAAGGGAAAACCCATAAGATTATAAGCTTATTTGTTACCAGAAACTTTGCAGCCAGAAGAGAATGGCATGATATATTCAAGGTGATGAAATCTCTACAAAACCACAACCAAGAATACCATATTCAGTAAATTATCATTCAGAATGAAGA